GGCTCAGCAACTCAGAGCGGTTCTTTCTTGTGGAGATAAAGGAAACTCTATGTTGTCTCCCAAATAAGCAATATTCACAGGGATCCAGGGCAACATCTTTTTCCATTGAAATGGACTCCTTCTTTACAAGAGTCGTCAATCCCTTCTTGCTCATGTGGCATAGTCTTCTATGTCATAAGTTTGGTGATGTCTCTTCTTCAACAACATTTAGACTTGGCTAAAGCAGCTTTGCATGGGTTTTATAAAGAGTGTCATAAAGGTTTCCCCTTAAAACAACCATAACACCTTTTAACAGCTTCTAGGTGTCATCTTTAAATTGATTATCATATCCCTGAAAGTCAAGAGCTCCAGTTAAGATAAGATTTATTCTCAGCTCTGGGACATGTCGAACATCTTTCAACACCAATGTACCTCCCTACATTGGTCTTTATGTGTACATCACCAATACTAGTAATACTTGGGAAACTGGTGTTTCCCATCTTCACAGTACCATGGTGTCCAAGTTTATGCATAGTAAAGAAATCATGGAGTCGAATGATATGATGTAGCGCTATTAATCACCCACTCATCATCATGAGTGCCAACATGTAAGCATGCTTCCTCCTCGTATGTAATAAGGGCAATGTCTTATGTTATGTTGACCATGGTTTCACCATTCTCCCTTCTTGAACTCTGGCTCGTCTCGGTTTGCTCCTACAGGAACTTTCGACAATCACTCTTTTGTCGCCATAATAATTACAGTGATTGTAATAGCCTTCGAACCATGTATTTGAAGATTTACCTCGCTCTCATGATTTCCCTCGATCCCATTATTTCCTTCAATCTTGGGATCTTCCTCTAGATTGACCATGTCTGCCTCTACCTCAACCTCGACCTCTACCTGCAGTTGTGCCTTAGCCTCTTTCTTTGTTTTCTGACAAGAGGGCAAAAGACTGGTCTGTACCAGCTTCTTTACTTCTAGATTCCTCATTCATTAAGGCGTCTGTGACCATCTACGTTGTCACTTTCCTATCGGGGGAAGAATTTCTGAGAGTCACAACAAGATTCTCCCAATGATTTGGTACATAAATCAAGAGCAATATGGCTTGTTCCTCATCTTTGAGAACTCCATTAGCAGCACCGAGCTGGTTTACGAGATCTTGGAACTGACTCGTATGCTCGGTTATAGACTTACCACTTTGTAACTTGTGCTTTACAAGGAGGCTCATCCGTAAGGTCTTGTTGCGTTTCATCTTTTCCTGATACATATTCTCGAGCTTCTCCCAAAGTTTGTACGCATCTGTCTCTTGAGAGACATGATGAAAAACACTGTGGTTGATCTACTGTCGAATTTGCACCGCCGTTTTCTTGTTTATTCTCGTCCAAACTTTATCTGTCTTCGTGTCGGGTTTGACGCCTTTCTTTTTCTAAAGTCTCTGCTAAATCTTTCAGATTAAGCAAATCTTCCATCCTTGGCTTCCACATAATGTAATTGGTGGGTGTAAGTCGAACCATCGTAATAGTAATTGTAGGTTCCATCAAAAATACTTGCAAATTGCTTTTACAAAATTTTCGAGGAACAATTTGATAAAACCGAGCTCTTGGTTGGATTCAGAAGAGTCAAAAATGGTGGGGTGGACTTTTTCGGGGTCAAAGTATACTTTCTTGAAAAGTTATGGGCTAATTTGTAACTTTTCAGAATTATAAGGACTAAACTGTAATTTTTGCAACTTACAGGAACCAATCTAAAAATTTTATGCCACACATGGACCTTTCTGAAAGTTTTCAAAAGTATAGGGACCAAACTGGTAACTTTCAGAACAAATAGGGACCGAAATAAAGTTTTTCATAAACAAAGGGACCTGTTTGCAACTTTTTGGAACTTCAGGGGCGAAACTGCAAAATTCTAAAAGGCTGGTCAACTGCTGACGGTACTTCATCTTCTCTGGCAGCCTTCTCCGGCGGCCGGTTTTTCAGCAACTTTTTCGGTAAATTTTGACCAACTTTGACCAACGATTTAAGGCATTTCCGGTGGTTAGAAAATTCCAAAAAAAATATATTTTCGGAATCCTTGAAACGAGGTCTTTCCAATCGTGGGACCAGAAATGGATTTTGAGACAAAAAAATCGACCCAAAACAGAGAAATTCGTGAAAAAATCTGTGGACACCAAACGAGGCTCTAATACGAATCGTTGGGGTTGGAAAACTTTTCTATTGAACTCGAAAATAGAATTACAATATGAGGAGCAACTCTCACACTCAACTATTACAAAAAACAAACCCACTTTCATTACCACTTACACTCTAAGTGTTATACTATCTATTTCTCTGTGTTTTTGGGATGCCTTACAACTTATGCTAGAAGCTCTATTTATAGTAAACTCAGCCATCATTTTATCTTCTCCGGTTAATGTGTTCATCGTATGGTTAGAAAGAAATATTATCATCCTAAGAAGAAAATGATTCTATAAAAAATGTTGGGCTTGTAGATGGAGGCTAGAATTCAACCCTTATACTTCTAAAATGTTTGTTTTATGATGATATTTTACAAAATTAAGTTATAAAAAGTAGCATTTCGTTTGGTGAGGATTAATAATAAAATTGGCTATATTGAAGAGTTTGTTATGATTTGGTTATGAAAGTTTAAATAGTATTAACTTAGACCTTAAACTATTATAAATATATATTGTATAAAATTAGCCATAAAAACGTTGATATTTTGGCAAAAAAATGATATGATTTAATTTTACATCCTATGTAAACGGCCTGATGATAAAGAGGTGGTAATTTGTATATGTAGGATTTTTAAACATTACCAATAGGACGAGTTATATTGTCTTGTAAAAACGAAAATTTACTTGTTATTTCCAATTTAAATCTTTATAATTATCGCAGATAAACATCTTAGCCGTTCTAGCTCAGTTGGTAGAGCGCGTGGCTTTTAACCACGTGGTCGTGGGTTCGAGTCCCACGGATGGCGTCAACATTTATTAATTCAATTTTTTCATTTATCGCGAATCCCTTAAACTGACTCATATAAACAATTTAGCTAAAACTTATCAAAACTTTAGTTTTCAATACCAAGTGCTTGGTGGATTTCTGTTATTTTCCTGATATTACGTGTTGCTGACATTATTTTCTGCTGATTGAAATATGAACAATATGGATTTCTGTTTGAATGTTTTGTCGGCTAAATGAAGCTAATGCTTGAATGAATTTTTAATTTTGTTGTTTTGGAGTTGATTGTTAGTTAGTTGCCTATTGCAGATTTTTGTATTAAACAATCCTAATAAATGAAAATAATTTTATCATTTGTCATCTTCTAATGCATTATGACATATGACTTATTATTATTTTTTTTTTTCCCACTTGTCATTTTATGGTTTTTCCGTTTTATTAAATTTCATATAATATTTAAATTTAAATATAATAATAAATACATATTAATTTTATTAATTGATTTTCCTTCTAATTTCAAAATTACTAAATTAAAGCCCCATTATTTTCTTTGTTTATTTATCTAAATTATTTGTTTAAACTTTTTAAAAAAATAACAATTTAATTTTAATAATTCAATATTTTTCTTATTTTTTTTTTATAAATTCAAACTTCAAATATTTAGAATTTCATATTTATTTTTTGTTTTAAATAAATTCATGTAATATATGGATCTTACCTACTAATGCGTCAAAATCTAAAAAACATTTATCTGTATTCCCCTTTCTTTATAGGTCTCGTGTTCCCCCTATTGAACGAAATGCAAAAACCACATACCCACAAACTTGTCAATAAACAATTCTATGTTCAATTTGACTACAAACAATTCTATGTTCCACTTGACTCCTACCCATTACGTGTTCAATTTGTATAGTTCTCATACCGTGTTCAATTGTACAACACCAATTCAATCTTGAGATTTAGTAAGAATAGCAGACGGTATATTAGTCATGACTCTTCTTTTCTACGAACAAGTCAGTACTCGCACTATTGGGAGAACATGCATCAAAGAAGGTCGTTTTCTTTTCCGTCCTCGCACTATTGTACGAATTTATCCCTGTACCTAATGATTCTAACATATAACATATAACAAAAAAAAAAAAAGGCTTAGCAAGTCCCCAACATGTTCAAGGTTCCAATCACATTGGTCTTGATTGCAAGAAATAGCAATGCTTCATTTATTATCAACATTTCTTCCTATTTTTACTCAAAAATCATTGTTGCTATATTTGAGTAGATTTAGCCCAGGGTAAAAAAGAAAGCAAATAGAGAACAACTTTTTTCGGGAAACAGGGGATGAAAAAAGAATGTAATTATTAAACTTAAGTCTAGATTGGATACCTTGACAGCATTATATTTGTAAAATATATATTTGATCAACTTCAACCATCAATGGTTCTATGTGTGATGTCAAACATATGATTTAAGGTTATAATAAGCAATATTGTGTAGATTAGTTAAAAGAAAATGAAGATTTGAGTTACCTAATTGCTTCTCAACTCTTTCTTATCACATAATTTCCTCTTCAACCGTGCATTTCAATCTGTAAATGGGGAAAACTTCAGACGAACTACAAATGTAACGCCACAAAAAGAAACACATTAAAATTTTGCTACCAACCAGAGAGAGAGAATGAATCTTCGAAATCCCTGATTAAATTAATATTTTGTAAATATTTTGTCTATTTACATTTTACAAAAATCGATATATTTACTTATTTTTCACTATTGATAAAAGGAATAGTGGGACAAATGTGTTAGGATGTTTAGATCTTATATCAATATTTTTCTAAAACGATGATCTTATTGTTCTCAAAAGAAAGATCGTATTGAAGGTATAGGGTATCCTCGATCGCAATTTTAACAACATCATGTGAAACAATTATATCTTTATCTATTAATTTACTTAGTACATAATTATCAAGTTGATGTGTGGAACCGGGGAGGGAGGTGTTTTAGCAAAATTTTCTAGTAAAATGGTTAAATGTTTGTGTTATTCCAAGCACAAAAACTACATAGTAAGATCTACCAATCATACATTTTAGACCAACCATCTTTAGGACTATAAAACCAAAAACCGTCGCGTCTTGCCTCCCATATACAATCTTTGTCAAACTCTCCAACGCAATCACTACTAAAACCAACATCGAACACCTTAACATATTTGTCTTTTGATTGCCACTTGAAATTGCAAACATAAGAAAGACCCGGATATACTTCCAATTTAGTTTCTTGACCCGGTTGAAGTATGTTGTCATTTAAATCTTCTAGAAATACACAACGATATCCAAGGTTTTCAACATCTTTGTCTTTGAGATGAACAGTGTACTTCGGTTGTGGTGTTGGGGATGGTGGATCCGCCAAGCAACACGGTGGCGCTACAACAAAAAGTAACAAAACAAGAAATATCATTGACTTGTCCATTTTTTTTTTACTATATGTGAACCTTTGAGTTGGACGCGGTTTTATAGAAGAGAAATTTAATTGATGTAGTTACGCCTCATAAATATCGTGATTAATATTCATTTAATCAAACAATAAATTAACATATTCTAATTTATATAGAGTATCTTGGAATTAATCATCTCATAAAATGTCTAGAAATGTGTAGTTAGTCACAATAGCATAACATGCGGCTATAAATTACATTTCTTCCTTATTTTATGCGAAAATTCAAATTATACCTTTCCCCTTTTTAACAAATTATTTTATACTTTTATTAAAAAAAATATCAACTTAATTCGTTGGTTATTTAAAAAAAAAAATAGCAAATCACATTTTGCTTTCCCACTATATCAACTTAATTTGTTGGTTATTTAAAAAAAATAGCAAATTAACTTATATCCTCTCCTTCGCCTATGATGAACCCTATATTACCTCTTAATCTTGTCATTTTACAAGATTAATATTAGTGCTTTTATGGTTTTCTCATTTTCAGTTTCACTCAAATATTTTGTATTATTCGTATGCTATTGTTTGTGTTACAAGGATCAATAGTGTATAACAATATTTGTATTTGAAATAAACATATATAGTATTTGCATAAATTCCAAAAGGGAAACATGTCTTTTCATTTGGTAACATTTTGGCTAACTCGTATTCATAGGTGCCCATGTTCTTTGATGTTTTTATGTAAAAAGAGTTTTAAAATTCTTTTAAATAATACTTTCATCTCATAAAGTGATGTGTCGTAGGCGCTTTTCATCAACAATATTGATGGTATGAAACCTTAGTTTGTATATACATTGCATGCTCATGATGTTGCGCTTATTGGAAACTAGTTTTTTTTTTTTTGAACGGCAAATAAATATACTAAACTACTTCTAATTATTTCACATATGTCCATAGTGAGACTTGAACCCTCGACCTCAAGGAGGGAGGGCAACACCTAGTGGCGAATCCAGGATTCAAACTAAGGGGTGTCCAACTCGAATGATATAACATAATAAAATATTTAAAAAATTGATTTTAGATTGAGTCATAACTATACGATTATATACATGACACATATAATGATATAATAATCGTTAGAAAATCATAATCATCTCTAACATTAATATACAAAATTCACCAAATTATAAATGAACACCACATACAAACTAAACTAATAAACAAACATATATTTGATATTGTCTTAAATTTTTTCTGAAAATTTTTAACATCGCTATAAACTAAATAAATTATCAAATAAACTAAGATATTATTGGCAATTGATGAAAGTTTGGATACAAAAAACTTTATTTTCTTTGTACTTTAAATTACAGAGTCTACATTGCTTTCTAGACTTTACCATTTTATAGACTTTGACTTTAGCTAGCTATAGCAACATTTTTTTATATAATAATTATATCTATATCTATACACAAACACAACTACATGCTAAGTACTAGAGAGAGTGAATAAGCGAGACCTGAAAATAGAAGAGAGTGGAGAGAGATGAGAGTGAACAATAGAGAAGCAACACTTTGATTCTAGTCATCGGGGACAGAAAGCGATAGAAGGTGGCGGAGATAGACAGCGAGCGGCAAGTAAGGGCAGAACCGTCGAACCAACCGACTTGTTTTACTGATGGAGAGGATCGGCAAATCAAAGGCACCAAGGTCGGAGTTAATGACCGATCGGCGAAGCTACATGAAAAGCAGTCCCGGTGACCCAAAAAAAATGTAAATTTTGATTTTTAGGGCTTTGGCATTTCAGTGTTCTTTTCTAATACTCTACATGATTTGTAAGATTTTAAAGAGATTGTATTTATAAAAAGTTTTCTTTTTTATTACCCCGCTAATTGCTCATACAGCTGTATGTTACTACATTTAAAAATTCCTAAGATGTTAGAAATTTTCTAAATTGTTTCATGTTGCCTCACAAAGTCACAGGTGTCCATTTTGTGATTTCTACCGGTGTTTTTCAAATTTACCATATAATCTTTAAAGAGAATTAAATAACAAGGGGTGTCCATGGACACCCTGTAGTTCAACGTAGGTTCGTCTCTGGCAACACCAGATACCGTTGGGCTAGAAGCCCTTTTGTTACTGGAAACTAGCTAGGTAGAACATTTTGTTTCTTTTTTACTTAACGGGTTTCATGGATTAAACACTTATGAACAACTATATATGGCTAGGTTTTTTTTTTCACTTAAACGGATCGCTTGAAGAGTTTATCTAAAAAAAACATGGTGTGACATATTCATACTCCAACCCTTTACATATTTGGCACAACCCCTATCATGTTAAATTGATGAACACCTTGAAAATTGTTTGTTAGAATATTTGGTAAAATGGTCATTTAGTCTTATTTAAACAATTTATTTACACTAATATGAAACAAACATCATGTACACAACTTCCTGGGATTCATTGCCAACTTCCTAATTTGGATTTTGAAGCAAAAACTTGGTCCAAGATGTTAATTTTTTTATGACTGTGTTCTTGTAGATGATCACTGATAATGACCAAGGATTCATTGCCAACTTCCTAGGCATATTAATATTCACCCATCATGTGTTGGCCGACACCAAGTACGAAGGGAACTAATTAAACCACTCTTGGGAAATCGAATTTTAATGATGTTCTAATTTCGGGATATCGAGTCGGAATTTGATCAAGCGAAGGTTTTAGGTCTCAAAGGAATAGAGTTTAGACCATTTCGAATGTTGATAATGTTGGATTAAATGATTCATGCCCTTGATTTGTGCCTTGAAGAAAAAGGGTAAAATTGGAAAGGTGATATCTTGGGCTTCTTGCATGAATTAAGGAATTTAGTTCGATAGGTTTTTACTTAAAAATAACTAGATGAGATTGTGGGGCTTGTCAATACCTTTTCGTGCATATAAAGAACGCTGAAAACGGAGGTGAAACGAAGAAGTTACGGTTGTTTGAACTTGAATTGGAAATTAGGAATTTTGCTCTATGCAGGGTGTAGGAAAGCTACATTGGGCGTAAGTGTTGAATTTTGGATGCGGGTTTAATGACTTATGCATAGAGTAAGTTATGCTATACAGGGCGTAGCCGCTGCTGACCAAAACCCTAACCCTAAGGTTTTGAGCCATAGTTAAGGGCTCTAACTTCTTGTGATCCTTCCCATGACCAGCCTCCATCACCTTATATCATTCATCCAGAAACCCAAGTCTCCGTTTGCTTGTTTTGAGCCTTGGCATCTTTTATGAGCTTGTTTCTCCATTTGATGGTTGAATCTTGAAGAACAAGGTGTTTGCAAAGTGCATAGAAGAAGGGTTCAAGTATAGATCCAGCAAGGTTGCTTCATTCATGGACCATTGTGAGTAAAAAGCTCCTAACTTACTCATTGGTGTCACAACTAGAAAATTTTGGGTCAAACCAAGCCTAAGGAGTCTTGTATATAAGTGTATCTACAATGTTTATCTATTTAACCTTGATACAATGATGTTTATCGAAAGCCAAAAGGACACCATTTGTATGATTAGAGATGATATACACTTGAAAAATTCATGTTGAAATAAACCTTGAATGATCAATGCAAATCAAACATGAATCAAATGGTTTTAACACAAGAACTTATATTTATGCCATAACCTTGAACACTCGATTTTTAAGGCCACCATCCTTGTGAATTCTACTTTTCAAAACTGAAATCACCAAGCTAGGATACCTTAGGACCGAAATCTCCTACCTAGGATATCCTAGAACCGAAAACACAAAGGTCCAAGACTATCATTGTAACCCCCGCAGATTCGGGCTAGTCAATTTAGAGACAATAAGCGTCAAAAATAACTTTTTTTGATATAATATTATTTAGAATAAATAATCTTGACCAAGTTATAGTATATGTCACAAGGGTTCCGTACATATAAAGAACGCTGAAATCCGAGTTATAACGAAGAAGTTCTGACCCGTCGAAGTTTTACAGTAAAATCAACACGACACCCGGAATCGTAAAAAATGAATTTACGATAAAATACTTTCTAGCCTTAGTGATCTAAACGAAAGTCGTAGTATCTGTTAAACCGAGAGTGTGCATAAAAAGAACGTCCAAATCTGACTTCGTATGAGGAAGTTATGATTTTTCTAAGATTTAGCATAGTAGTGCACAACCCGAAATTCGAAGTTTACATTGGTCGATTTTTAACCGAAATAGTCTAAACAAGAATTAAAGATCTCGTTAATAGGAGCTCAACGATAAAAAGAAAGTCGAAAATGGAGCTCGTATGCGAAAGATATGGATGAAACTTAGTCTTTGCTCTTCAAGCGTGGCGAATTCAATACAAATTTGTAAATCCGAGATAGAATGAGAATTAGCCAATGGAGTCTAAATGAACGTTGTAGTACTCATAAATACCAACGCGTGGATATAAAGAACGTCGAGAATAGAGCTCGTATGCGAAAGGTATAGACGGAACTTAGTCCCTACTCTTCAAGCGCGGCGAATTCGATACAGTTTTGTAAATATGAGATAGAATGAGAATTAGCCGACAGGGTCTAAATGAAAGTTGTAGTACTCGTAAATATTAACGCATGGATATAAAGAACGTCGAGAATAGAGCTCGTATGTTAAAGATATGGACGAAACTTGGTCCCTACTCTTCGAGCGCGATAAATTCGATACAGTTTTGTAAATCTGAGATAGAATGAGAATTAGCCGACGGCGTCTAAATGAAAGTTGTAGTACTCGTAAATACCAACGTGTGGATATAAAGAATGTAAAAAAAGGAGCTCGTACATGGAAGATACAGACGAAACTTAGGGCCTACTCTACGATAAAACCCCTATAAATAAAGGGTGAATCCTTCATATTTTCTTCACACCATAAGCCTTTCTTTCTCTCTCTAACTTCTCTCTAGACTCCCAAAACCCCTCTAATTCCCTAGTAACCTCAAGTTGCTAGAGGAAAGACCCGGAGCGCCCGAAGGCTCTCTTAGAAAAAGAGCTTTTCGGCTCAGAAGCTCTGCTCCA